TTTTGTAACCACGTCCATGTCATGTGTATATCTGCTCCTTCACTCATCTCCCTGTAATACTGTCCATACATTCTTTTTCCTATCCATCTTTCTTCAGTTGCTACCATCTCAAGTTGTTTATAACTTTCCTTTGGCCTACTACCCTCTACATCTAAGATCTTACTTCTTCCAATTGCTTTCAATAACGGTTCCACTGACTTCTTAACATACCAACCAAGACTATTTTCTTCAGCTTTTATACTTCTCTCACATCCTAACAAACCCCTTCCTCCCCTCTTTCTTGATAAGTATAGCCGATCAACATCACTCTTTGGATGAAAAGCACCATGAATTGTCATCAACTTCCTCGTTTTCCTATCTAAACTTTGTAACTCCTCTTTTTTCCAGTCCAATATTCCCCCACCATATCTTAACAAAGCGATGGCCCAAGTGTTAATCCCCACAATTTTATTTCTTCCATGTAACCTGGATTCCAATACAGCTCTTACTCTCCTCAAATATTCTCTTTTGACTTTCTCCTTCATCTGTGCAGACAATATATTATCCATTTCTAGAATCCCCAGATATTTATAACCCTCAGATTCAACTGATCTCATGACCTAAGACATATAATAGCACTCCATAACCTTAACATTCATTGGCCTGGACCACCTTGTTCTCTGCAGATTTCTAGTAGTAGACATTTCAGCAGTGTTGTTACAACTGGGACCATCCTGCTGTCCAATAATGTCCCAGATGGGCACTACACCTTCACTATTCGATCTGGTGTTATTCATGCCGTTATCTTCATTATCTTCTACTTCTACCGTTATCTTCTACAATAGTAGAGTTTTCCATCACACACATGCATCACCATCTTATCTCTATTATTATTATTATTATTATTGTTATTATTATTATTATTATTATTGTTATTATTATTAAATTAGATGATGGTGCATTTTGTGGTAATGCTATACGTGAGCTAGGGGAGAGGTGTGATTGTGGTATTGGAGATCAAACTGATTGCAATAGAGTGGACCCGTGCTGTACTGCTGGTGAATGCACACTCAATCCTAATGCAGAATGCAGGTAACATCTAATGCACAATGTACCTGTATGTTATGACAAGACTATGTACTCTTGGTTATCATCAATTTAAGACAATTTTGAAAAATACCCAAGGCTATAGCCCATGGTTTTTTTCAAAAAATAGCCAAAAAATTACCCCAAGTTTTATTACATTTTCTAATACATATTGGTGCCCTTATGCTGTGTAGAAAGTTTGAGCTGATTCCGACTTCAATTTTTTAAGTTACGGCCATTTTAAGAAAATTCCAAAATTCTGAAAAATACCCAAGGCTATAGCCCATGGTTTTTTTCAAAAAAATGGCTCCGAAATCACACCAAATTTTTATTACATTTTCTGATATATATTGATGTCCTTATGCTGTGTAGAAAGTTTGAGCTGATTACGACTCCATTTTTTCAAGTTATGGCCATTTTAAGAAAATGCCAAAAATCTGAAAAATACTCAAGGCTATAGCCCATGGTTTTTCCCAAAAAATGGCTCCGAAATCACACCAAATTTTTATTACATTTTCTGATGCATATTGATGTACTTATGCTGTGTAGAAAGTTTGAGCTGATTCCGACTTCAATTTTTCAAGTTACGGCCATTTTAAGAAAATGCCAAAATTCTGAAAAATACCCAAGGCTATAGTCCTTGGTTTTTTCCAAAAAACTGCTCAAAAATCACTCCAAATTTTTATTACAGCCATTTTAAGGAAACGTAAAAATTCTGAAAATATAGTACAGGGACTTTAGTCCGATTTTGGAGCAACTTTAAAAATTAGTAAAAAATCTAATTTTAATTGGAATGAGCTCAAACTTTGTACACAACTTACATGTAAGTACATGTATATTCATCAAGAAATGTTGCATTATTATTATTATTATTATTATTATTATTATTATTATTATTATTATTATTATTATTATTATTATTATTATTATTATTATTATTTCTAGTGCAACTGATGGTTGTTGTGTCAGTTGTCAGAATGCCACTGCTGGGTATGTGTGCAGTGAAGAGACGGAGTGTGCTGCTGAGTCATTGTGTACTGGTAACTCATCAACCTGCCCCGAACCATACTACAGGAACATTCCTTGTAATGGAGGGACCAGGTTCTGTGAGGAGGGACAGTGTACAGGTACAGTTTTATTTCTTTATTCATTTATTTATTATTTATTTATTTGTTTATTTGTTACAGGGTCAGTATGTAGGACCATAGGCCTAGTGGAGTGCCAGTGCACTGATTCTGATAAATTGTGTCAAGTTTGTTGCATCACTAATGACACTGACACCTGCACATCAACCTTTGAACTATCAGTGAGTTATTAATAGTTAGTAATAGTTATTAATGGTTATTATTAATAGTCTGCTGGAGTCCTCAGTGTCCCTGGCCAGTACAGGGACAGTGGTAGGTCTTGTAATCAGTTTCGAGGATACTGCAGTGACAGCAACCCACCAACGTAAGCCCCAATATCTCACTGTGTTTGGTGTATACCTGTACTCATCACTCTTCAGGTGTATTGGGGTGGATAATGAACGGACACTGAATGATCTACTGGATATATTCACCCTTGAGACACTCAACAATGTAATAAACTGGCTCAAGTCCTACTGGTGGATACCAATAATAGTCATTATTGTCATCATCATCATCATTGTGCTCCTTCATGTCACCTACCGGAAGAGGAAGCCTCTTAAGAAAGCTGCAAGGAGAGCTAGGTGTGTTTAGTTGATGTTGTTTGTTGTTGTTTATTGTTGTTGTTGTTGTTGTTGTTTATTGTTGTTGTTGTTGTTGTTTATTGTTGTTGTTTGTTTGTAGTTCTACTGTTAGGAGAATGAGTCAGTCTGGAGGTGAAGAGAGACCAGCCAGAAGAGGAGGAGGAGGAGAGAGAGGAGGGGGAGAGAGAGGAGGGGGAGGGGGAGCAGGAGAAAGAGGGAGAGGCAGACAACCAGGGACTGAAATGAGTGAGTTTATTGTATAGTTGTTATTATTATTGTTGTTGTTGTTATTGTTGTTGTTGTTATTATTGTACTTGTTGTTTAGGAGAGATATTACAGAGATTAAAGAAGTTCTTTCCAAGAGGTGATGTTGATCTTATAGTTCAAGTCCTTCGAGCTGAGAGAACTGAAGTGAAAGCTGTTGAGAAACTACTGACTCTAGGCTATAAGATGAAGAAAGTTCCCATGCCTCGTTAATTAACAATAATTAATTAGTAATACATGAATAATTAATTAGTTTATATCTTTGTTCACTCGTGTCTGCCGTTCCATTGTAATATTTTTAATTAATTTTAATTAAATTGTTATTGGTCAAAATTTCTCACAGCAATTACAAAAATGTAGTTATTAAAATTAGTTATTAATAGTCATTAAAACTAGTTATTAAAATTGAGACCAACATATGCAGTTTCTCCATTCCTTTTGCGTCTCCTCTTCATGTACATCTCAAGTTTGCACAGCCCAACCATTAGGAATATCAACAGCAACAATATACCAACAGATCCTAAAGAACAACAGAAACACAATGACAGGATATACTGTACTGTCTTATGTACATACATAACGTTTGGCAAACTCCCTGTACTGTGTAGTACTGCAGGTTTTACCAAAATCTTCTGTTTTTACGATACATGAACTTATATTGTGTAGAAACTTTAAGCTGATTCAAATTTTTACAAATTTTATTTTTATCAAAAAACTGTTACAATACAGTAAGTGACTAATCAGTTTACAAGACATAGTTATTAATAACCAGTAGTTAATTAATTAGTAATCAAAGTCATCGGCTTGAACACTCAATGCTTGTCTTCTTCTGTTTTTGATTCCAATCACACACACTACTGTTATTA